ACTGCTACAGACGACGATAGGACAAAGGTAGTAAACCTATCTTCAATCCCTCTGGATTCTGAAAGTACGGTTCTCTTAAAGAAGGGTTTACATTTTTCACCAGGTAATGAAGGAAACGTTCTTAGTGATAATCTGGTGGAAGTTGTCAACATAGCGGATAAATATCCAGAATATACAAGGCGGGAGATGGAACTGGAAATAATCCCACGGATCCTGAGACATCAAGAACCGATACACAGGAGCAAATTAGCTGGTATAGGAAAAAAATTAAAAAGGAATGATCAAATAGTTCTTCAGGCGGATAGGGGAGGGGCGACGGTTGTAATGGGCAAGAAACAATACACGGCAAAAATGGAAAGTATCATTGGCGACCGGAACACTTATCAAATACTAAGCAAGGATCCAACCACGAAGACCAACAGAAAATGAAGAATATGCTCAAGGAAATGCATAATAATGGGGAAATTGACATATGGATGATTAAATCTTTAATAAAAAATGACGCAAGACAACCGGCAGCCTACGGACTACCGAAGATACATAAGGAAGGGAATCCTCTAAGACTATTGGTCAACAACAAACATGGAGCAATGCATAAGCTAGCGAAATTCATTTGCTTGCAGCTTAAGAAAGTAAATGACAGACTCACGAAATCCGTTAAGAATTCATATGATTTTTTTCAAATGATCCATAATATTGGGTTGGTGGGGTCGGAACAGTTGGTGAATTTCGATATAAAATCCATGTACACAAACATCTCAGGCGAGAAGTGCATTGCTGGAGATATTGGGGCGAGAAGAGGACACCCTGGAGGCAGAACGGATACGGAAAGAATCGTTAACACGACTGATCAACCTGACAGTAAGGACTAAATATTTTACATTTAACGGCAGCATCTACGAGCAAATATTTGGCTACCGATGGGACCTCCACTCTGACCTCTTTTGGAAAATGTATACATCAACAAGTTGGAAAGGGAATTCGAGAAGTCACCACTGGAACCAAGAGTGCTTATGCGATAATATTTGGATGACTACTTTGCACTTTGGTCACATGGTAAGGTAAATCTAAATGAATTCTTCAATTTTATTAACCAACTTGACGAAAAAATTGAATTCACAATGGAGGTGGAGGATGAACGGCTACCCTTTCTGGATATTGAAGTCATACGCTCCAAGGATCTCAAGGTCTCCGGTGATACTACAAAATGACTGCAATTTAAGGTGCGGTATATACTCTCGACATGTTATTACACCGAACCGACACGGATACTAATTTGTCACAAGGCAGATGTTAATTTTTTCAAAAAGTCCAAACGTGTAATGATGTTCAAGGTTCACTTTCTGCGCCCTTAAATTATAGTGTGAAGTGTTGCTAGAGCTCATAAACTCATTCGTTACTGCCGAAACTTATCTTTATTAGGTAGAATAAGTAAAAATCGAGGTGCATTTGGCCAAATAACTTAAACATTGGACTTGTTAGACATTATTTGAGTGTCAAACTAGTGGAAGTACTATAAGTGGGTTGACCTCGTTTTCACAACTTGGCCTTGTTGCCAGGGCGACTTAGTAGAACGCACCTTGCCCGAAGTCCTCTGCCATAGTAGTTATCATAATTCCTAGCATCAGACCATAGACTTGGTACAATCTCAGACCTGTCTCTTCGACGGGTTCATAACTTGGTGGGGAGAATCGCAAGTCACTGATGATGCCGGCGGAGCACCTGAGAATCTAACAAGTCAACGGTATAATGGCTAACTTACTAGAGAACAAGAGTGTAATGGATGTTTTGATGAATTTCATTAGACTTAGCTTTTTTCAAAGCAGGCATTTCCTTCTCTTTGTGCTCCCATACAGAAATAAAAACAAGTATCTTCGCAATGAGGGCCTGCGGCGACTAGATTTATTCCCGAATCTTAACCTCAATCTGGCATTACTTACGACGTCACCTTTTAGCTATTCAGACCCGGTTAATACCTGCCTTATTATGGTATCTACTCAAGGGCAGTGCCGGTAATGAATACTTTTTCCCGGACTTCTTTCAGCTGAAACCGCAGTCAAGCAGACCACATACTGCCTGGAACGAGGACATGGGTTTCATAATTCACCGAAAGAGTTCCCCCCAACTTATTTTGGTGATCAAAAAGTTTCAAGCTAATCTTGGTCTTCATACTTTCGAGTAGATGCCCTGATACTTTGAAATAAGTAATTCGAAACGAAGGCTTAGCGCTGTCCATTGATACTAGTTCAGACTGATAGATAATTTAAAGGACAGCTTGTACTGAACTTCAGCTAGCCATGTATCACAAGATGGAAGTGCACGCCCAGAACCCTGTTAATTTCCCTCATGAAATGAGGCGATACCCAGACTGGACTGTGGACAAATGGATGCAAAATGCGCGCTTTCTCAGTACTATTAGATAGATCCGCCGTGAGTCCAAGTTGATATAAAGTAGTATACTGCAGACAACAAATAAGAGCTGTTATCTATTGCACCATCTTAGCTAGTTCCATGGCCAGAGTATTTCTCCTGAGACCAGGGCTGTAAGATAACAATACCTCACTTGAGCAGGCGTCAGCAATAATCATCGTGGCGACCAACAACATATCAAACAGCCATTTACTGAAACAGAATTTTTAACGCATAACGCTAACCTGGAAGGAAGCTTGTCTTGGCTTATTGCGATCGGTGCCAATCAAATTGCCGAGTACAATAGTTTCCACACTTGCAGTTGAATAAATCAATTGACTTGGGGCAGTAAATAGACAAGCTACCAAACGACTTGGCTAATTTCTGATACAAAAAGCATAAAGGAAGTATTTACAGGGCGAATTTAAAGACTGTGACGAGCACCATAGAATACAAAATATTATCGAAGTAAAAATCATAAACAGTCATTTGAATAAAAACCCTGTTGGCCAGATCGAGTGTATTAGCATTAGCAATCCAAAAAAACCAAAGCGATTGACTGGTTTTGGCCTGGACACACTCAAAAACGCAATAAAGGACGATGATATAGTACATGTAGCGTGGATACGCGCACCAGCATTGCTATTCGCATTACGGCCTGTCCAATAACATTATCAGGCCGTAGAGTTGGATATCAACCCTATGGAGCAGTTAGAGACGCCATTTCATGGGTGCTAATACAAGAATTCCTGGAACCGTTTCCCATTATGATCAGGAATAGCGGATTCATCACAATGCTTTGTAACCGATGTGATATAGATGCGTTCAAAAAAACCCAGCAAACTTTCCAAGTTGTTAGAGGAACCATTAGCCAATAGTTATCCAATTTGAAGAAGAAATGGTCTCAATAAAAGTTATACAGTAATACTTTAAAAAAATTAATTGCAGGGCGAGATGCATGCCAAATATTATATGGATTTGATAATCAAAAGGAGCATGAAAAATAGGGATATCTAGTGAGCAATTAGCAGAATAACTCCAGAAAAATTATGAAACAAGCGTCAAGTGAATGAATTCATTCGTTGTCGACAGCGATAGCTGGGACCAGGTTCGTGAACGGAATGACCTCTAGTTCGTTTTCCTGGGTACTAATCAATCGCCGGAAACAGGTGGAAAGTTCCTCATTGGCCTTTCGCGAGGCGATGATGCCCTGTTTGGCCTTAGCCAAGCCAATGCTATTGTTTCCACGATCGAAAATCGTGTAGTAGCGGCCAATAAAGCTGTCACCTAGTATCCATAAGGGGTGTTGAGGAATATCAATGCCTACAAAGCCAAGCAGACAAGCAGTCTGACGAAACTTCGTCACCTGAAGACGTAAAAAGGACAAATACGCGGTTAATTACAGATA